ATAGTCCCCCCTACCGCAGTTTTATGCCCGGCCGTCTGAGTCTAACCCGTCTTTAGAAAACTCATATTACCTAAACCACCCAGCAACTGCCATTTCATTTTGGCTACCCGAGCTCGGAGTGGGCCTTTTGATTTGATTTATTTACATCTACGATTACCTAGAGATATGGGTTAATATATTACATTAAAAGGATCGTAAGGTACCCCTCCTGGGTGTCGTTTGATGTAGAGTGCTCAATAGCATGAACAAACACTCCGATCTGCACAAGTTTTGAAAGAAGAATATAAATTTCCGTAGCCATTCCCAAAAAATGAATTTGAATACACCGGAAATTAGGTTATCGGGAAGTTTAGTAATCTCATATGGCAGAATCAACTGAGTCAGTATTTTTCTGCTAAGTCCTTTATGATAGTACTAGTTGCAATGGGTGAAAGTAGTCGAACTGTATTCCGGCATCGATTTACTTGTGCTCTATAGCTCGATGATAAACCCTCCAAACAAAGCCGTTAGGGATATATAGTTTATCCAGAAGTGCTTATGTTGTGCCAAGAAGTATTAGTAGATTTACAAATGCTCTTATATTATTGAAGTACAAACAAGGTCAGTGGTTGTTTACACAATGTTCCTTGAAATTTAACTCTTGGCGGTTATTTTACGTCAAGCGGAAGGACTGCTTCAATCAATTTGACGTTAATCAACAAAAAATTTTAATATTCCTGGTCTCCGGAAGCAATTTGGTATATACCAATTTTAAAGTACGGAAAATAATTCAAAAGACTGGTGCTAAAGCATCCATCGTATATGTATATAGATTAAGACTTTAAATGAGTCGTACAGCACGAATCCTCTACGGCATGCACAAATACACCTTGTGTAACCTCATGGCCTAGGCAACAAAAATCCACATAGCTTGTTGTCGATACTTCGAACTTTTTGAGCAGAAGGTTCGTAACCGTATAGTTTGATGATGCTGCGACCAATGTCTTAAATTTTGGTGCATACACACCACTGCAGTGGTGTGTATGCACCAAAATTTACATATGCAGGATAATGCATCCAACCAATTCTTTCACTAGGCCTTGTTGCTTGTTTTGGATAGTATATTTTCTTTATAATTGTTTTATTTTATTGTTACCATGCGGGTATACATAGTTTGTGATAGCAATTGCTAATATCAACTGCAGTATCATGATATTGATAGATAATTTATTATCTATTTATTACATGGTCTAAAGTTTGCCCATTTCCATTATTAGTAAAAAAACACTTTTCTTAAACTTTAATTAATTTACCTTAACAAGAGTTGTATTTGACGAAAGGAATTTTATTCTTCACTTGTTCGCCTGATGAGCACATCGCGCGATTTGTGCCTATAGGCTTATGAACAGAGAACGAGATCGGAATCATTGTTCAAATAGTTTTAATCTCATTATTTCCCACTGTGGACACTCGCGTTCTCTGTTGTAATAGAAAAAGCTTCCATCTTTTCGTCTAAGCTTTTTTACGAAGCCAGATTCTGGCCATCTTTCTATCTCAAAATTGAGATTCGCAGCCTTCACTAGAAAATTCAAAATATGTATACCTTATATTCTGCCTCATCTCGATAACCTGCAATTTTGAATCTATAGGCCTCTTCGATTTCTTTTGACCACGTCTTTGCCTGTGAACTTTTCGTATTTTGAGAGGGCATTTAAATCAATTCGAAACGCCGCCTTTATTATCGTCGCGGTGACGCGAAAACTCAATTGTGTAATATAGTTAAAGTCTCGAAACTTAAATAAGGACGCAGAGTCAGACATGAGAGGTATCGGTTGAATTCCAGACTTGGCGACTCCGATATAATGCAGAAAGCAATCACTGGGGGCTTACCACCGGGAACCAAGGAACCAACCCTAAAAAGCTTGTAGGGTTATTGCACTCATGAAAGGAATTATGACGTTAACCAGAACATTAAGATAATTCGGCTGTTTTTCTGGGTAGCTTGTGAATTTACAAGAACCCCTTTCGAAGAAGTACCGAGGAAGAAGGACAAATCAGATAACTGAGGGAGTGGACAGGTGGTGGGAGTTGGAGGCTTCAACAAACATTCACTTACTATGTAGGATTAACTGGACTATACCATACATATCGCGACAGGGATGTAAAACTAAAGGAAATGGTACGAACATTTTTGAGGGTTGAAACAACAGTTTATTTCTAGGTTCGTTGCCTCCAAAAATTGCGACAATAAGGCATGATACTTAGAAACTTCAGTCCCATCGACAAGGAGAGAAGATTAACTGGACTTAGAAAATGGTTCACGTGATTAACTATTTCAAATAAGTTAAAATAAAATATTCAGAGTGCAATATTTCTGACCAGAAGCAGAGAAGTCTGGTGCGATCAAAAAATACTTGCGCAAAGAAGCCCTTATATTGTCAGTTGTCATCTTGAACTCAATTGTTAGGTTTTTATATCTGTCTTGGGGAATGGGATATATGTTTTATGGCTGCTGCATTTTATTGGTAAAACAATCTTCAATAACGTGAGCTCATGCAGGCCTGGCATGAGAGGTCACTTTATACCCAAGAACCTTCGTGTGTAAGTGAATGGAACGATAAGAATCCAAACAAAAAGGCGTTATAAATGCTACGACCACCCAGACATCAAGATCAATGACCGGGCGAACTCTCCCATACGTTTAAAATGTGTCTGAGCTTGTCGAAGGGCAACTAATAAACCATCACTTGCAAGTAGCACACCAGCCCGCTTCCACAGCTTGTACACCCTAAGGACCACGCGGGACGAAGAAATATATGTAACTTCTATTGGCACAGGCTTCCGCTAATTAAAAATTAATTTGTTAGGCACGGTTAGTTATGTTAACTGTTCCCGTACATATCCCATAGTCGTATAACGAGCTGGGGAACCAACTTGGAAAATTTACGTATATAAATTTCAAGTTTCCCGACGTAGCCTTTCTCTTCTTAATTAAATATCTTGAGATGCCGGTATTTCAACGCATAATATTGATGTATATTTACTTGACAGATAACGTTCATCTGCATTGGAAAGCACGGTTAGAAAATATCGACGCTCTGTGCACACTTCCAGATGAAAGTGTAGTGGACCTTACCGCCACTGCTGCCAGACGAAACTGACGCACAACTGAG